ATTCCATTTACAATAACATCAAAAATAAAGTAAGATCTTTGGAATAAACCTAACCAGGGAAATGAAAGACTTGTACACTGAAACTACAAAACATTTCTGAACAAATGAGAAGAAGACACAAATAAGTGGATGACATTCTTGTTCATGGAATGGAAGAATTAATATTGTCAAGGTGTCCACGCCACCAACAACGATCTCCAGATCCAATGCAAATCCTATGAAAACCCCAATGGCATTTTTTTTTGGCTCAAACAGAAAATTCATCCAGAAATTCAAATGGAATCTGAAAGCACTACCACAAACCAAAATAATCTTTAGAAAGGTGAACAGAGTTAGAGGACACGCATTCCCTGATTTCAGAATATATTAAAAACTTTGGTAATCAAAATAATATGGTACTGAAATAAAGACATAAATAGGCTAGGTGCAGTGGCTCACGCCTGTCATCCCAGCACTTTGGGAGGCCGAGCTGGGCGGATCACCTGAGATTGGGAGTTTGAGACCAGCCTGACCAACGTGGAGAAGCCCCATCTCTACCAAAAATAAAAAATTAGCTGGGTGCGGTGTCTCATGCCTGTAATCCCAGCTACTCGGGAGACTGAGGCAGGAGAATCACTTGAACCCGGGAGGCAGAGGTTGCAGTGAGCCGAGATCACGCCATTGCATTCCAGCCTGGGCAACAAGAGTGAAACTCTGCCAAAAAAAAAAAAAAGATGTAAATAGACCAGTGGAATAGAATACAGAGGAGCCCACAAATAAACCCTCACATAGACAGTCAAATGATCCTCCACAAGGGTGCCAAGATGACCACTCAGCGAAGAATAGTTTCTTCAACAAATGGTGTTGAGAAAGCTGGATACCCTCATGCAAAACATAGAGGTGCATCTCTACCTTATACCACATACAAAAAATTAACTGAAAATGGGTTAAAGACCTCAACGTAAGACCCAAAACTGCCCAATGTCTAGAAGAAAATACAGGAGAAAACAGGGTGATGAGACAAGATGGTAGGTCCTTGCACTATTACCCCCAGACCCACGGTTTATATTCCACAGGGGAAGGACGGTTTGCACTCCACAGGGGAAGGATGGTTTGTACTCCACAGGGGAAGGATGGTTTGTACTCCACAGGGGAAGGATGGTTTGTACTCCACAGTTGAAGTATGATCATATCAAGGTTGTTTGACTCCAGGGCAGGATTTATGATATGTACCTGCTCTTACACAAGGAATGATAGATCAACTGGAAATCTTAGAGGCCTTCCCAAAACTGGAGTTAATCAGAAGCTGCCATGGCAGATTAGCCTCCAAGATGGAGTTGCCTTAGCCTCCGCAATATTAAAAGTAGAACTACCATATGATCCAACAATCTCACTTCTGGGCATATATTCAACAAATTGAAAGCAGGGTCAGGAAGAGGGGTTTGCACACCAATGTTTGTAGTAGCATTACTCAAAATACCCCAAATGTAGAATCAACTGAAATGTCCATCAAACAAAATATGGTGTCTGTAGTCCCAGCTACTCAGGAAGCTGAGGTTGGGAGAATGACCTGAGCCCAGGAGGTTGAGGGTGTAGTGAGCTATGATTGTGCCACTGCACTCCATCCTGGGTGACAGAGTAAGATCCTGTCTATTTAAAAAAAAAAAAAAAGTTCTGAAAAAAAGAATATTATTAAACCTTTTTTATTTAGTCATTTATTTTGAGACAAAGTCCTGCTTTGTCACCCAGGCTGGAGTGCAGCAGTGCAATCTCAGTTCAGTGCAATCTCAGTTCACTGCAACCTCTACCTCCCAGGTTCAAGCGATTCTCTTGGCTCAGCCTCCTAAGTGACTGGGATCACAGGTGTGTGCCACCACGCCCAGCTACTTCTTGCATTTTTAGTAGAGACGGGGTTTCACCATGTTGGCCAGGCTGGTCTCGAACTCCTGACCTTAGGGGATCCACCCACCTCGGCCTCCCAAAGTGCTAGGATTATAGGTGTGAGCCACTGTGCCTGGCCTCAACCTTTAAAGGGAAGGAAATTCTTACACATGTTCTAGTATAAATGAGCCTTGAAGACATTATGCTAAGCGAAATAAGCTAGTTACAAAAAGATAAATAATGTCTGATTCCATTTATATGAGTATCTAGAGTAGCCAGATTCCTAGAAACAGGAAGCAGAAAGGTGGTTGTCAGGGGCATGGAGGAGATGGGAATGGAGAGTTAACATTTGAAGAACATAGAGTTTCAGTTTTACTGGCCCAGTGTGGTGGCTCACGCCTGTGAGGGGCATGCATTGGAAGGCCGAGGTGGGTGGATCACTTGAGGTCTGGAGTTCAAGTCCAGCCTGGCCAACATGGCGAAACCCTGTCTCTACTAAAAATACAAAAAAATTAGCTCTACTAAAAATACAAAAAATGCCGGGCGCAGTGGCTCAAGCCTGTAATCCCAGCACTTTGGGAGGCCGAGGCAGGTGGATCACGAGGTCAGGAGATCGAGACCATCCT